TTTCCCTAGAAACTTCACCTTTGAAAGTTAAGGGGTTGTTCTTTTGTAAAAGACTGCAGCTTAAGTTTACAAATAAAAATACATCCACATGTAATTATTGGTGATAGTCCTCAAGTATTTTGCTGTATTTAATTGGGTCTCCTAGGCACAGACTTATGAGTACTAACAAATAGTACTAGTTGTAAGAAAGAAATAAAAGCAGTAGTTCTGGAGATATTTTATCTGATTAATGAAACAATATTCCTACAAAAAAAATGAAATTTGTAAAATAATGAACCAAATGATACTTTAAGGCACAGGCTTAGAATACAGGTGCCCGTGTTTGTGCTATTTCCATCTGATATATGCCTTCGGTTGATCCAATTAGACATTGTCATGAAAGTAACAAGAAACTAAGTGAGTGTGATGGAAAAATTACATTAAAGAGGAGGGAAGCTCCCAAACAGGTATACAAAACAGCTTATTAAAGGATCACAGTCAAAATTAGACAAATATTTTGCCATAGAACAACATGCAATTTGGGTAAATAGAAAGAGAGAGAAAGGGAGAGAGACAGATAGACAAACAGAGATAGTTAGACAGACAGTAAAATATCTGGCAAACTTTTCCCCTCTCTAAATTGGGAAATCTCCAAAGGAGGCGTATTTTCCTGTATTGGCTGGATTTTGATGGGATTAATTGACTGATTTATATGGTTAGCTTTGTTTGTTTCATTTATCATTATTAAGGAAGGTTAAAATAAAAACAGGGAACAAAGTGAAGAACGTCATTGAGGAACAGGGTTCAGGCACCATGGTTAACTATGTGTTGGGTGCTGTCCGAAGTGCTGGATTTATAGCCGTGAGTGAGACACCATCCCTGTCCTCTTCAAATCTGCAACCCAGTGGTGTTACCTGTGGCTTCTACCAAGAATCCTGAAACCAAAATGGGTCCTTACTTCAGGCGTAGCTCACATAGCTTCAGAAGAGGTGGTGAGGGCTTCCATGAGGGAGGTAGTGAGACTTTTATTGATTCAATCTGAGATGAATTTGTCATGCACAAAGGCAACCCATCCAATAACCTACCTCATGACTGTGGGGAATTGGTCTATCCAGTGACTTTACCTGCATTCTCCTTTATATACTCATCCCCAAAGCTCTGTCCTGAATCTTGCTAGTGACTCTCTGGGACAACTGAACATTGTGCTTTGCATGAGGGCCCCTTAATTGGGGGGAGGAGGAGGAGGAGGAGGAGGGCCTGGCTCTTAACAGGAATGGACTTGGGACAGTGAGGAGGATCATGTGACTGGCTCCTGACTAAACCCGATCTCGAAGGTTTAGGGTTCTCCTGTGGCCGGATGTCGTGACCCCCCCTAAAAAGGTGGCATTGACCCTCCACAGGTCGCAGCCTGGAGGAGGGTCCTGGGTCCGCTAGGACCCTGACTGGAGGTGACAGCCCCCACATCCTCTCACCACACCTCTTGGGTCAATGGCACCCACGGTCCAGAGCAGCCCTGGGTGCATGGCTAACGCAGCTGCAGCCCCGCCAGGCACAGAAGCTGCAGGGCCTTGCTCCTGCACCCACCTTGGGAGGAGCCCACACCCTGAGCCCTCCCCGAGAGCAGTGTGGCAGAGGGTAGCCACCATCTCATTGGGACTCTGAACAATCCCATAGATGTGCACCTGAGGCCAGGAGTCTGGGTCCAACCCCCTCCAGCGAGTTGGAGGTCAGGCCCAGGCTGGAACCTAGGCCTGGGGCAGCCTGCCAGGCCCTTTCTCACAGCACTCTGCTCTCCCTGGGTGTCCACAGGCATCCTGCTGCACCCTGGGGCTCTGTGGACACTCCGTATTCACCCAGCACCCAGAGGCTCCCGAGATGGAGACAGAGGTGGTGGGCCCACCTAGTCCGGGTCTGTTCCCCGCTGGCCCTGTCCTCCTGCCACCCAGCTCCTCGATGGTAGTCTGCCTGGCTCAGAGGGTCCTGCTGGAGCCCAGGCTGTCCTCTTGGCTCTACGTCCACCTGATGGTCTGACCACTCCCCATCAACTTTGCAGTGGACCACCCAGCAGCAGCTGACTAGGCCGCCCTTCACCCTATGGGGAAGCCTGGGCGGCTGTTGGCCCAGAACAGCACCGGCCCTGCGTGTTCTCGCCTGCCTGTAACTCGGTCCCATGGCCCGACTGAAGGCCCAGTCTCCAGGAAGGAAGCTTCCCCTGAGAGAGACTGAGCAAGAGGAGTGATTCTGAGGCCGCCCTTAAAGCTCCCCCAGGTCCCAGCCCCGCCAGTAGGCCCTCTTGGGGTGTTCCAGTCTTCAGCTGACCGTGGGCGAGGGAGGAGCCCCGGCTGGGTGCCAAACCCATCTCACGTGGGGCACCCAGGTAGCCGAGCCTGCCATGGCCTCCGACACCCGGGGCGCAGCGGCACCCCCACCCTCACCCCGCCATGGCGCAGACTCCCTCCTTGAGCTTGGTGTGGGCAGACAGCACCGCCTGGGTGCTCCCCTCAGGACCCGCAGAAAACTGAACAGTGGGGAAAGGGCATTTCCTCGTCAGTATTTCTGGGGACCGCTGGGTTCATTGGGATTAAGCAGCCTTCTGGGGTCTGTTCCCTGTGAGCCTCCGCGAGGACCAGAGGTGCCGAGTTCCCCAACCAATTCGGCCAGGAAACCGCTCTCGGGGACCCAGCCCATGGGGCCCGAATTGCAGGCTTCGGGAACTGTGTTAGCGGTCAGGCGGTCACGGCTCCCCAGAGAGACAGCGAGGCGTGGGCCAGGCAGCCCTCCTCGGTGGGTCTCAGCTGCTGACCGAGCCTCCTGTGTTTTCAGCCTACCCCTGGGATCGGTCCAGCCTGAAATCCATGTCCCTGGACCTGCGGCAGTTTGAGAAACTGGACACCTATGCCTCGCAGGTAGGAGAACTGCCCCTGGCCGGGGGTCCCCACTCCAGGACAGCACACCCTCTCCCGGGCCCTCCTGAATACGTCCCAAGTCACTTGGGAGGACGGCCCCAAGAGCGTCTTTCACAGAGTCCAGATGACGTACAGCAGGCCAAGGCGGCAGGCTGCTGCCCAGAACTGAGGGCCAGTCCAGCTGCCACCCCCACCCATGATCTCGGAACACACCCTGCAGCCCCCCGGCCAGCCGCACCATCTCTCTGCCCAGCGGGTGCGGGTGCTGCTGGGCTAGGGCTGTCTTAGTCCACAGAGGAGGAAAAGGAGAGGTTGAGAAGGGCTGTGGGTGCAGATGGTCAGAGCCACTGTGCTCAGAGCCATGCTCGCCCCGGAGCACTGGGCTCTCATACCGCTGGGCCAGGGCGTGCCTGGGCGGAGGTAGGGGGGCAGATAAAGACCTGAAGCTCCAGGGACACTTGGAGTCATGGGAACCAGGCAGGAGCTCCAGCACAGAGACTGACAGGAGGGCCGAGGCACCGGACCTTCTTCTGAAGTCAGAGTGAGCCATGTGAGGACAGGAAGAAGTCCTGGACGGGTCACTGTAGGTAGCACCTTAGGGACCTTCTCTGTTGGTTGATGAGTGGATGGACAGGTGTGTGGATCAAGAAAGTTAGATTCGAGGCAGATTAGGGGCTTCCAGCTACCCTAGAAGACATGACCCCTGCTGAAGGGAGAGTGAGTACAGGGAGAAGCAGACAGGTCAGTGCTAGGGCGGGCACTGGGAGAGGACCACGTCTTCAGTGCACGTGGACAGCAGGGCAGGGAGAGGACTCCCACGTGGCTGGGCTGAGTTGGGGGAAGAATAAGCTGGCTCTTCACCACAGGGAGCAGGGAGAAGAAGCAGGATTCCGGAGGGTGATGAATCTGTGTGAGGCGTGATGGGCTCTAGGGTCTGAGGCACAGCCGGTGGCAAGGACTTCTGGGTGGCTGGGTCTATGAGCCTGGAGCGGCCTGGCAGCAGACATGGGGCACCATCAGATTCTGCTTAGAGCTAAAGTTACAGGATGACATCATACTGGGGACAGTGGCAGTGGGTGTTGGAATCCGAAGGACCTACAGTCGTCACCGGAGAGGCTGGGGCGAGGCCAGGAAGCTTGGGAGCTCTGGAAAGTCCAAGACGAGCATCCCGGGGCAGCCATGGCCATCAGCACGAGCCAGGAGAGGAGGACAGCCTCCTTCCTGCTCCTCCGGCACGGAGTGCCTCTTCCTGCCAGAGGGCCAGTTCAGAGGGGGCTGGACCTTGGCCAGGCTGGTGGGTGTAGGACCAATCTGGAGGTGGGGAGAGAGGTGGAGAGAAGGTCCCTGGAGCCTGACAAATAGGGGAGGCTAGCTGTGGGCAAAGCTGAAGAGGAGGAAGGGCTCCTGCAGGTGGGAGGCCAGGAGGGGCAGGGCAGCCAGGAAGCAGGGGAGGAGGGAGGACACATGAGCAGCAGGGCACTGGCTGAGGAAGAGCAGTCCCTGCAAAGGCAGGAAGCCTGGGCAAGAAGGCTGGAGCAGGAGACCGTGAGGGGTTCACTAGTAAGGAGGTCCTGTCTGGCCTCTTGAAAGGTTGAGGCCAGCTCAGCTGAAAGTCAGAAGGGGGTGAAGCCGAAGATCTAGGAAGGTGGGCCATTTGGTAGTGGCCATTAGAGGGGTTGGGACAGGCCACCGGTTCAGAGAACAGTGCCAGGAGCCCAGCTGAGGCCTGAGACCAGTCACAGATCTGCAGGTGGCCAGAGCAGACAGGCCCAGTAGGACCAGGAGGGGAGGACCGAAGGATCAGGGACCACAGAATTGAAGCTTTGGGCCAAGGCAGGACTCCAGGCTACCGCGTGGGGCTGCAACGTGCAGGTCATAGCTTTAGGGCTGAAAGAGGGACAAAGACAGAAACCGTGGAGTTGGAGCTGGGTATAGAAGAAATCAAAGCCAACAGAGTGGGAGTGAGAGGGGCCCAGAGTTCTCCTTGGGGCCCAAGTTCCTCTGCGCTGGGTGGAGGTCAGAGGATGGGGCTCGGGGATTCAGCTGTGAGTGGCGAGCAGGTTCCAGGCCAAAGTAGGGTCAGGGAGCAAGTACCCTCGAGGTGAAGCTGTCGGAGTTGAGCACTGGGCTGCCCTGGTGCTCTCGGAACATCGGACCGGGCAAGGCTGCCTTCCAGCAGCCCACGCCTGCTTCTTCCGAGGCCCCTGCCAGAAAGGCTCGTTTGTTCTTCTATTGTTATCACTGTAGTAAAATATGTGTAACGAGATTTGTCATTTTCATCCCCTTTAAGTGCACAACTCCCTGGCATTAATTACATTCACGATACTGTACAGTCGTCACGCTATTTCCAAAATCTTTTCAGCACCCCAAATCGAGATTCTGTGCCCCATAAGCAGTGCCTGCTTATTCCCCTCCCTTCAGCCTCTTAACTCTCAGGGTTTTGCCTATCCTAAATATGTCCTTCAGTGGAATCTCCAGTATGTCTCCTTTGGGGCCCGGCTTCTTTCAGTGTCGTGTTTCCAAGGCTCGTTCACCTTGTAGCATGTTGGGAGTTAATTTTCTTCTTTTGATGGTCGCCAATACCCCAGGGCACGCATGGGCCACATTCGGCTTATCCTCTCCTCCATGGATGGACACTTGAGTTGTTTCCACCTTGTGACATTGTGAATAGTACGGCAGTGAACCTTGCTGAACAGGTATCAGTTTGAGTCCCTGCCTTCAGTTTTTTGGGGGGTATAAATATCTTGGAATGGGACTGCTGGATCATATGGTAATTCTATGTTTAACTTTTTGAGCAACTGCCAAAGGGCGGTCCACAGCAGCTGCTCATTCTACAGCCCAGCGACGTCGAAGGTTTCGATTTCTCCACATTCTTGCCAACACTTGTTATTTTCTGGTTTCGTTTTTAATAGCCATCCTAGTAGGTACGAAGTGGGATCTCATTATGGCTTCCGTTTGCATTTCTCTCATGACTAACGACGTTGGGCATTTTTGCGTGTGCTTATTAGGCATGGTCTTATTGGCCATTTTCTTCAGAGAAATGTCTTTTCAAGTCTTTTGCCCATTTTTAAATTGGGTCGTTTTGTATTTTTATTGTCTCATTATAAGAGTTTTTTTTAATGTATTCCAAAGAGTAAGCCTTTGCCAGGTATGCGTTGTGCAAATGCCTTCTTTAAGTTGTCTTTTTACTTGCTTAATAAACTTGGGAGCACACAAATGTTTTTATTTTAATGAATTGGTTTATCTATTTCTTGTCTTGTTATTCTTGTTTGTGCCCTTGATGTCATATCTAAGAATCGACACCAAATCTGAGGTCATGAAGATTTACACCAGTGTTTTCTTCTGTATCTGTTTATTTTTCATTTTTTATTTTTTTTGGAGACTTTTCGCTATAGGGCTCATGTGCTCGCCAGAAAAACATAGAGACAGAGAGACAGAAAGCGAGAAATCACCCCCCAGGGGGGATGGCCACGCCGCAATCCATTCTCCTCCATTCTTCTCTCCGGGTCTTGGGCACGCACACACACGCGCCCAGCATGAGTTTAAGTCACCGGGTCCAGGACTTGAACCAGGTCGACTACATGGGAGTCCACTGACGTAGCCATTACGCTAACTGCTGGTCCCTCCCCAGTGTTTTCTTCTAAGTGTCTGCTTTAAGTTTTTCTATTTGGGTCATCGATCTATTTTGAGTTGATTTTTGTAGTGGGTGTAAGGCAGAGGTCCACCTGTGTTCTGTGCATGTAGAAAGCAGTTGTTGTGGCACCACTTGTAAAAAGGACCAGTCCGGGAACCAGCAGTTAGCGTAATGGCTATGTCACTGGACTCCCATGTAGTCGACCACGGTTCGTGTCCCGGACCCGGTGGCTTAAAACTCACGCCGGGTGCGTGTGCGTGCGTGCCCAAGATCCCGAGAGGAGAATGGAGGAGAAGAGATTGCGGCGTGACCATCCCCCCGGGGGGTGATTTCTCGCTTTCTGTCTCTATGTCTCTCTCTGTCTGTCTGGCAAGCGCACGTGCCCTACAGTGAAAATCTCTCCAAAAAAAAAAAAAAAAAAAAGGACCAGTCCTTCCCCCACTGAATGGACTTGGCGCTCTAGTCAGAAACTCGATTGCTCGCAGACATATGGGTTTGCTCCTGGAATCTCGGTTCTCTTCCGTTGGTCTATATGATCATTATATCAGCACCAAACTGCTTTGGTTACGGTGGCTTTACAGGAGATTTCCAAACTGGGAAGTGTGAACGCGTAAACTTTTTTTTTCTAAATTATTTTGGCTATTCAGACCCCTTTGCAGCTCCATATAATTTGAAGGTTCGATTTTCCATTTCATCAGAAAAGACTGTTAGAACCCTGATAAGGACCGTGTCAGACCTCTGGTTGTTTCGGTAGCATTCGCTATGACTAGGGGCTACCACAGCTGTCCAGATGTCCGCCTGACCTGCCCCCGGACTTACAGGGAGAGGCTGCGTGATTCCAGGCCCAGGATCTAGCCGCTCAGCACGGCCTGCCTGCCCAGCTCCCCCCACCTCCCCAGTCTGCCCTCAGTCAGCCTTCGTCCTCTGGGCCTCTGCTCCAGCCTCTGCCTGAGGACGACCAGCACTGACTGCAGGTGACGGGGTGCCAGGCTCCGCAGCCTCCTTCCAGCCCCGATAACCCTCCCTGCTCCCCAGGTGACAGTCAAGAGTGGCCTGGACGAGCTGGTGAGTGACCTGCTCCAGGAAGCCCACAGTGACCTGGAGAGGGTCCGTGCCATCTGGATCTGGATCTGCCACCACATAGGTAGGCCCCACTGTGCTGCTGGCCCTAGAGCCCTGAGGCCACTCCCTGCATGCCCTGCTCCCATTCAGCCTTTAGTGTTTGTGAGTTGGACAGCGAGGCCTTTATGACTGTACTGAGTAAGCAAAGACCAGGACAAAGCCCCATGTGCTAATGGCCTCCGTGAAGGTTGGTGGGCCCATCCATGCGGCCCTCTGCCCAGCTGGAGGCCAGAGCTGAGGCTCACGCCAGGACAGCCTTCCCGCAGTCCTGGCTCCTCGAGACCCTGCTCTACAGATACGAACCCAGGACAGAAGGGCATCTCTAAGAAGGACTGTCACTGGCTGGGCGAAGTCGAAGCTCTTCTAAAAGCTATTGTAACACCAGAGACCTTACAAAGCGCCCAGGCCAAGGAGAGCAGGCTCTCCTCTCCTGCCCCTGCTCACACTGGCGACCTTGGTCACTGGTCTCGGCCAGTCTCCAGGGTTTGCAGAGCCATGTCAGGGTGCCTGGACCCGTGTAGCTGCCCACAGCTCCGCCCAGGATGACCGTGGGGGACCTCAGCAGGTCAAGCACAGAGGTGGCTGCTCAGATCTGCTGCCCCTTGCCATCTTACAAACACAAGTGAGAGGCCGAAGGGGCAAGGCCATGGAGTAGACTCTGGGCCCTTCCCCATAAAGACCAGCCAGGCCTTGGCTCACCTCCTTCTCAAGAGCTTCCCTTCATCCTTTCTATAGCAGCTAAGTTTGCAGCTTGGGGGCGGAGCTCGCCTGACACAGGTGAGATTTAGGGCCAGGGACCACCTCCTCCCACCCCAACCTCACAAGCGCTGCCTGGGCCTTAAAGAAGTAAGATCAGAAATAGAACGCTTGGTAGGACTTTGTTGACTGCTCCTGTCCCCACACCAACAGATACATGCACACACACACACACACACACACACACACACACCCAACACACACAAATACACACACACACAGGCCCTCAGTGGCCATGGTGACTCGAGCCTCAGGGCCTCACCACAGGCCTCAGACTCTACCCAATCCCCACAGCCCCTTGTTAGTCCCAGGAGAAGCTGGGAGGGGGCACCCCGTGGGCCTGTGTGCGGCCTTGGCCTGGGCGCCACAGCAGGGCAGGAGGAGCACTGTCCCTGGAGCCGTGTGCAGAGCTGTCTGGTGGAACGAGCGAGGACAGCCCTCCTCCCCTGTGCTGTCTTGGTTTAGAGCCCCGAAGGCCCAGGTGGTCCACTCAGCCTACACCTGTCCCTGGCCACCTACACAAAAGGGAACACATTTCCCAGACTCTGCTTGAGCTGGGACCTTGTTCCACCTGGCCTGCTGTGAAGTGCCCCTCCCACCTCCTTGCCCCACCTCATGACGCCCAGTCCAGCTGGGAGCAGGGGTGGGGCCGTGGGCAGTGGCGCCTCCCTGCCAGCCTCAGCTGCCTCCCGGCTCTGGTTCCTCATGGCCCCCTCCTCTGTCCTCCAGAGTACGACATCGAGGCTGCCCAAGAGAAGGACCGGCAGGCCTTCAAGCCCACGGACATCCTGCGAACCCAGAAGACCAACTGCGACGGCTATGCTGGCCTCTTTGAGAGGATGTGCAGGTACAGGAGGTGCCAGCCAAGGCAGGGGGTGACCACCACGTCAGGACAGAGGGTGACCGCCCAGTCAGGACAGGGGGTGACTGCCCAGCCAGGACAGGGGGTGACTGCCCAGCCAGGACAGGGGGTGACAGCCAGCCAGAGCAGGGGTGTCCGCCCAGCCAGAGCAGGGGGTGACTGCCCAGTCAGGACACGGGGTGACCACTCAGCCAGGACAGGGGGTGACCGCCCAGCCAGGGCAGGGGCTTACTGCCCACCCTGCCCACTCCAAAGGGCGGTGTGTCTTCGCCCACATGCCAGGCTGGAAACCTGAGTTTGCAAACTCTGCTCTGGAATCCAAGTGAGTCCTGAAAAGGTCAATTTCTCCCTTTTTAACACCAGCATAATTGACTTTGTACCATCTGCCGGGCTTTGCGATGCATTAACATAATGGCAGATGAATGCACAGAGATAATTTGGTTATGAAAGGCCTTCTTCCGCCTTCTCCCATCTCTGCAGCTGAAGGTTAAAAGAATGGCAGGTCTGGGAACAGGAGGACACTGGCTGCTGATGCCAAGGGGACTGGGAAAGGCTGTCCGCAGGGCTGGCACGGGGCCTCTCAGGGACAACCAAAGGCCTGCTCCCTGAGAGATGTGTCTGTTGGAAAGCTGAGCAGCGAGGCAGCAGCTCCGCGGCCTGAGCTCCCATGTTGGTGCTCCAGGAACGGCCGGAGGGCCAGGTGCTGGGCAGGTACAGACCTGGTCTGAGCAGGAGAATGGGCCGTGGCTTGCTTCCAGTGACCTGGAGACAAGCTCGAGGCTGGAAGATGTCTGCTCACCTGGGGCTTCCTGTGGCCTCTCTGAGGTCTGCTGGGCTCCCCTAGGAAACAAGCAACTAGGCCTAGGCCCTGGGGCCACCAAAGATCATCTCCCAGGAAGTGGGCACATGGCTGTCAACCGTGTCTGCAGGGATCTGGAAGCAGGTGTTCTCAGGCACCCAGATGTCAGCCCACCAGCAAGCAGGTGGCAGTTCCTCTAACCAGGTGTGGCAACATGCACTTAGTCCAAAAGTGGGCAGCAGAGAGGCCTCGCTGCATCTCAGCGCTAGGTGCCGGGGGCAAGCAACCTATCCCAGGTCTGAATACACCTCCATACATACACCTGTACATATACCCCATACATACACCCCCATACATACACCCATATAAATACACCCCATAAATATATGCCTACAGACACCTGTACAGACACCTTGTACATACACCCCATATATACACCCTCATACATACACTCCTATACATACACCCCATACATACACTCCATACATACACCCTCATACATACACCCCCATACATACACCCATATAAATACACCCCATAAATATATGCCTACATATACCTGTACAGACACCTCATACATACACCCCATACATACACCCCATTCATATACCGCCATACATACACCCCATACATACACCCCCATACATATACCCATATAAATACACCACATAAATATATGCATACATACACCCCCATACATACACTTGTACATACACCCCATACATACACCCCATACATACACCTGTACATACACTCCATACATATACTCCCATACATACACCCCCATACGTACACCCATATAAATACACCCCATAAAAATATGCATGCATATACCCCCATACATATACTTGTACATACACCTCATACATACACCCCATTTATATACCCCATACATACACCTGTACATACACCCCATACATATACCCTCATACATATACCCCTGTACATACACCTATATAAATACACCCCATAAATATATGCATACATACACCCCCATACATACACTTGTACATATGCCTCACACATACACCCTATACATACACCTCCATACATACACCTGTACATACACCCCATACATATATCCTCATGCATACACCCCCATACATACACCCATATAAATACACCCCATAAAAATATGCATACATACACCCCCATACATACACCTCATATATACACCCCACACATGCACCCCATTCATATACCCCATACATATAACTGTACATACACCCCATACATATACCATCATACATACACCCCCGTACATACACCCATATAAATACACCCCATAAATATATGCATACATATACCCCCATACATACACTTATACATACACCTTGTACGTACACCCCATACATACACCCCATTCACATACCCCATACATACACCTGTACATACACCCCATACATATACCCTCACACATACACCCATATAAATACACCCCATAAATATATGCATACATACACCCCTATACATACACTTGTACATACACCTCGTACATAAACCCCATATGTACACCCCATTCATATACCCCATATATACACCTGTACATACACCCCATACATACACCTGTACATATGCCTCATACGTACATGCTATACATACAACTCCATACATACACCTGTACATACACCCCATACGTATACACCATACATACACCCTCATACATATATCCCCATACATACACCCTCATACATATATCCCCATACGTACACCTCATAGTACACCCCATATATATACCCCATACATACACCCCCATACATACACCTGTACATACATTCCCATCAAATACATATATCCTCATACATGCACTCCCATACCTACACCGCATGCATACACCCATATAAATACACCCCATATATACATACATACATATACCCCATATATACGCCCCATACAAACATGCCGTATATACACCCATACATACACACCACACATACAACACATACAAACACCCCATACATACACCCATACATCACCCCCATACATATACCCCATACATACACACATACATACATGCCATACATATACCTCATACATATACCCCGTACATACACCCTCCATACATATACCACATACATAGACCCCCATACATACACCTCATACATACACCCATACATACAAGCCATACATTTACCCATACATACAAGCCATACATTTACCCCATATATATACCTCATACATAGACTCCCATACAAAAATCCCCATACATACACCCCAACACATATCCCCAAAACACACACCTCATACATACACCTCCATACATACACCCCATACATATATCCCTACGCACACCCCATACATGCACCCCATACATACACCCCATACATACACCCCATACATACACCCCCTTACATACATGCTATACATACACGCCATACATGTAATTCATACATACACCCTACATACAACCCATACATACAACCCATACATACACACCATACATATGCCCCCGTACCTATACCCTGTACATACACCCCTGTACATATATTCCATGCATACACTGCAAACATACACACACATAAATATGCTTCCAGAAATATACCCCAGAAATACACCCCATACATACACCCCCACACATACACTCCATACATACACGTACATACACACACCCTATTCACCCACTCCATACATACACCTCACACATATAACCCCATAAGTACACCTCATACATACACCCCATATACAAACCCTCATACATACACCCCATATACACACCCTCGATACACCCTCGTACGTACAGCCCATGTATACACCCCCGTATGTACAGCCCCTGCATACACCCCCGTATGTACAGTCCCTGTATACACCCCCATACGCACAGCCCCTATATACACCTCCGTACGCACAGCCCCTATATACACCCTCGTATATACAGCCCCTGTATACACCCCCGTACGTACAGCCCCTGTATACACCCCCGTACGTGCAGCCCCTGTATACACCCCCGTACGTACAGCCCCTGTATACACCCCCGTACGTACAGCCCCTGTATACACCCTCGTACGTACAGTCCCTGTATACACCCCCGTACGTACAGCCCCTGTATACACCCTCGTACGTACGTACAGTCCCTGCATACACCCTCGTACATACAGCCCCTATATACACCTCCGTACGCACAGCCCCTATATACACCCTCGTATATACAGCCCCAGTATACACCCCCGTACGTACAGTCCCAGTATACACCCCCGTACGTACAGCCCCTGTATACACCCTCGTACGTACGTACAGTCCCTGCATACACCCTCGTACATACAGCCCCTATATACACCTCCGTACGCACAGCCCCTATATACACCCTCGTATATACAGCCCCAGTATACACCCCCGTACGTACAGTCCCAGTATACACCCCCGTACGTACAGCCCCTATATACACCCCCATACATACAGCCCCTATATACACCCTTGTACATACAGCCCGTATATACACCCCCATAACTTAGACTCACACCTGGCTCCCCAAATGCTCCAAACCCACTGCTTCACTCCCTGCCCTGCCCTTCCCTCACATCCAAGGCTGCCCATGAGACCACAGCCCCAGAGGCCACCAGGGCTGGTCAGGACACTACCCTGGCCTCCTCGATCCTCTTCTGCAGAGCAGCCCTCTCCACCCCCTCACAGTCCTGTTCCCCATCCAGACCCAGGCACCTCCATCTGCCTCGGGCCTCTCCAGGAGTCTGGATCCTTACTGGCCTCCCTGCCCAGGCTCCCTGGTCCTGGGTTTCTGAGCACTAAAGGCTCACACTGTCCACAGTCCTCCGAAGTCGGAGTGTGACCAGCTTCCAGCCCTGCACCTCACAGGACGACCTTGCCTCTCTCCTCACACTCCTGCCGGCCCACCCAGAACCTCCCTCCCCGCCTGGTGTCCTCAGCACACTGCTCCAGCTCCTGTGCTGCCTGGTGGCTTTATTAAATAACATTTCTAAATTTAAAAATACTTATTCATCATAGATGATTTATAAAATACGCTAAAGCAAAAACAGGAAAGACAGTATGTTACTGAGTCCCACCGCCTGTGTTTATTGGTTCTTACGCATCTTGGAGGTCTCGTGTGCCTTTATATGTCTCCAGCCTTTTCTGCAGCCCTGTTTGGTTTTTTGGTTGTTTTTATTTTTGTTTTAGATTTTTGCCATAGGGTGTGTGCACTTGCTGGAGGGAGCCTGCAAGAAGGAAAGTGATA